CATTACAATAATCTAACCTTGAGGTCATAAACGCATGGATTAACATTTCTGCATTTCTGCATAGAAACGTGGCTTTCTAAGGAAAGATTGCTATCAAATAGCACACCTAGGTTCCTAACTGATGACGAAGAGTTGACAGAGCAGCCATCAAGTCTTAGCGAGTGTTCTATGTTATTATATGCAGAGTTTTTAGGTTCTATAATTAACACCTCTGTTTTTTCAGAATTTAGCAGTAAGAAATTACTCATCATCCAGTTTTTTATATCGACTATGCATTCCGCAAGTTTTTCAAATTGGTATGTTTCGCCAGGCTGCGAAGAAATATAGAGCTGAGTATCATCAGCATAACAGTGAAAGCTAACACAGTGTTTCCTGATGATATCTCCCAAGGGTAACATATAAAGCGTGAAGAGTAACGGCCCTAGTACTGAGCCTTGAGGTACTCCATACTGCACTTGTGATCGATATGATACCTCTTCATTCACTGCTATGAATTGATGGCGGTCATATAAGTACAATTTGAACCATGCTAATGCACTTCCATTAATGCCAACAAAGTTCATCATTCATTCATTCAACTGGACTGATCGGATTGCAGCTGTTCTTGATTCCGCTCAGAGCGAATCTTCAGTAAATAATTCAGTGATTCAAATGATCCGGTCAGAGTGAGTATATTTAATATATTTAATGTTTTAATAGTGTATGACATGCCGCCCTCCCCCAGGAGTTTTGAGCAGTAAGATTATTTTAAAAATATATAACATTATTGAATATACAATTTAAAATTACAAAATAAACATTCATCGAACAGTACTTTTTTCATTTTAATACTTAAATACATTAAAAAAATACATTACTTTCACTTGAGTAAAATTGAAAAAGATTACTAAATACTTTTACTGGAGTAATATTTTATTAGGGTATCTGCACCTTTATTCATTGTGCACGAGCCGCCGGTCATTGTGATCAGTCTGCGCACTGGTAAACACAGACTCAGAGGAGCGCTGGAAGAGTTTGCTCACTTTGGTGTTTGTTTGAAAGGTTTAACACACACAGGATGGAAAGAACAACATCAGGAGTCCTAAACTGAGGGAGAGACATTTCAGTCTGACCTGATCACATTGTTTATTGTCAACGCAAGAGTTTGCTGGGGTACATCAGGTGTATTATAACGGTCTCTTTCTGTCTGTCTGTCTCTCAGCAGAACTCATGTATACGGTGGAGCTGGCTGGAGGTTTGGGAGCCATTCTGCTGATGTTGATATTTTTGGTGTCCCTGTATAAGTGTTACAGAATTGAACTCATGCTCTTCTACAGAAATCACTTTGGCAGTGAGGATGTGGATGGAGGTAAGGAATATTAGAAAGAAGTTCCAACAATCTAGATAGAGCACTGAAGTATTCAATAATATTCTTCTCTTGAGCAACTACGGTGGATCAGTTTCTCCTTCACAATACAGTAATCAGTGAAGAGGCACAAGGTATTAAAATGCTTTACTGACCCAATGTTTGGTCAGCTTATTGAAAAATATATTTTAATGAACATTAACATATCCCTAGGATTTGTTGCTGGATGGTTTTGTGCCACTCTTGTGTCCCTCAGCTATAGATTGATTGCATATAGGAATAAGAATAAATATTGAAACACCTAATAAATAATCATATGAGTCTTTAATCCATTTCATTGAAATTACTTGCCATATGACTTGGTCATGACAATGACCATAAGAGCTAACACCTTTAGTCAGCTGTTTCTCCCACCCTTTCTCCTAATTGCTTATATCAAATTTTGTTGATGTTCCAATGGTTTGATCTTCTCAGTTTTCTGATGTGAGTCTTGCTCCAGTGGGGCTTTTCTTTGAGAGTCATTACTTCTGCTTTTGGGTGAAGCCGGTGAAGCCTGCGGATGTTAACCAGTGCTTCTGTAGCTGATGGAGAAGGACGATGAGAAATAGAGAGGCAAGGGGACACTAAAACACCTTCGACTTTAATTTATCATCAGACGTTCTCTTATTGTGCCTCTTCAGGTAGACAGAAGTTATTTTTCCATGGCCTGAGAGCCAGAGCTAGACAGATCTTGTCAGTTGACATCAGTGTAGCATGTTCTGCTGAAGCCCATACTGAACCTGACGCTTCCTTATAGAAACACCCATACTCATTTATTTATAATTTATTGATTCTCCCTAATTCCTCTTTTTAATCTTTGAAATGTTACTTTCTAAAATAGCCTACCGCTTACGTACATTCAGAAAGTCTGTCAGTTTTGTGGACATTCACACATTCAGAGAACGGTCACTAGTCAGGAGGACACACAGCATTCCTCCACTGGATTCAAGAAGTGTTTCAACATTGCATTAACTTCTGATGAACATTAATGTTTATTTGAATTATCACTCAGTGGGTTATTTAACCATGTATCACTGTCTTTGGAAGACTTGTCTTTCAAACACATTAAAATGCACAAATTCACATTATTACATGTAATGCAGGGATTCACAAACTTTTTTTGTCATCTGATCATCTTTCACCTAATATTTTTACTTGAAGAACCCCTGAGATCTTAAAATAAATATTTTAATAATTAAGTATCCCATTTGCATGTTCACGGTTCTCTGACATTGGTTAATAGTCACATGACATACAGGTAAACAAAAATATTTCATTTTTTAGCAAGTGTTTTTTGATTGATGTTATTTTTAAATGATTTATTTTAATTTTATATTCTTATGATTTAATTAATTATTAGCTTTTCATTAAATACACAAACCCCAGTTTGGGAAACCTACACAATGTAATGTTTAATGCACTTTATGTTGTTAATAACAATGAATGGAATATATTTTCTTACTCTTTGTATTTACAGTATATATCAATATATGGTACAAGATTATCCTATTTAAATCACTGTGATAAATGAGTAAGGTCAGAAGTAATCTAAAAGTAGCCTGATTATATTATCTAAAATGTGTAATCTAATGGATTACGTTACTAACTACAGTTTTTGTCATGTAATTTGGAATCAGTAACAGACTACAATTTGAAAGTAACCTACCAGCTCTGGTTACAGGTTATGAATGCTGCTAGTGTGGTGGAAACCCGTTTCACTGTGATTCTCCATTCTCTGTGTGTGTTTTAAGAAAATAAAGACTACGATGCATACGTGTCCTACACTAAAGTGGATCCAGACCAGTGGAGTCAAGAAACTAGACAGGAGGAACGTTTTGCATTGGAGATTCTGCCAGACGTTCTGGAAAAGCATTATGGGTATAAACTCTTCATTCCTGACAGGGACTTGATCCCAACTGGAAGTAAGTTGCATTTGTTGTAAGGTGTGTTTGTGTGTAGTGCTGCATCTTCATCCTGTCGAATGTTTTATGGATATTTTCAGCATCATTTTTCATTTCAGGTACCTTTTGTTTGATAAGCTTTTTGTTTGGTCTGTACATTTTTCTAAATTAAAAGTAATTTTTATAACAGTGCTTTGAGAGAAAGTTTCTTGTACATAATTTGCTTGTGTTTGTACTTCTCGCATTCACTTGTATGTTTTTTGTTTGCTGGTTTGACTGTCTTGCCATTTTTACTTGAACATTTTAGTGTGTGTTTTCACTACATTCATGTCTGTTGTCTGGGGACTATTAGATGTTAATATGGGACGAGGTGCTCACAATCAGGGCTAAGAAATCATTGATTTGTGTTTGTGTTGACTTCAATGAGCATCTCAAGCCGTGTTTGATGTAAATCACTTCACTGATGTGATCAACTAAAATGAAGGGAAGTGTAAGTGTATGTTACTCTGCTAGCCTGTTAGCCCTGCAGCTACAAGTCCCATATTAAACTGGATAAACTGGTGATCGTAACTGAAAATCCTAAGGCAAAAAGTCACAGTTATCCCAGTTTCTCTTGTGGAAGTCCTCGCTGGTTTGTTTCTGATTGACTTTCTGCTGAATCAGCTGTTCAGACTTTCAATGTTGAAATATTTATGTCTAGGTTTCAGCAATGATCATTTCCAGGATGACACAAGACTCCTTAGAGGTATTCGTCCATGGCTTTTTCCACTTGTCAACAAATCTGACTCACACCTTTTTGCAGACTTCACCTTTGGGGGAAATTGGGACATGGTGCTGAGTTGAACCGGGATTCAGGTTGAGCAGAACACCATCATATGTTCTGAATGTAGAAAATGAGATGAAGCGATCGACTTGGATGAGTCTAAGAGAGGCTTTGAGAGTTTCTGCTGTTAGAGAGCGAGTGATTTTGGATGGGTGGGGTTTGAACAGTGTTATTATGCTTTTCCTGTTTGTTGTGAAGTAGGGCTAAAAAAGAGGCAGGGAAGAGATACGATAGAACTCAGAGCTTGATTAGTGCATTAAACAGTAAGACCTTATTGACTAGATGTGTTACTGTACTGGTGTAGTCATCCAACACAGTGGTTCTCAATTCCAGTCCACATTTTGCATGTCTCTCTTATCTGACGTCCTCTCTTCAGTTCATAGACCTCCCTACAATTGAACTGCTGATCTGAATCAGGTGCGTTACAAAAGGAAGACATGCAAAATGTGCAGAGCAGTGGTACCGCAGGACTGGAATTGAGAACCACTAGTCTAACACACAAACAAACAAACAGACAGACACACACACACACACACACACACACGCAGATAACTCTCTCTTTCACCGGATTGAAGCCACAGTTGTGACCAATGAATGAATGCCCTTTGCAGTCCCGTTTGTCAAGTTTAGGCCAGAGTAACGCAGCACTGAACACGTTTCATTTTCTCAGCATTGCTATATTAGATCAATATATAAAACTTAGGAGCTGCCACAGGGTCTCGTTCAGAGCAGGATTTGTGTTCGATGTCTGTCCTGTTCCCCCGTTCTGTGTTGACAGTGTGTTCCATCATTGAGTCATTCTGCTGTTTTTATTTCATATCTTAAGGCTGAAATACACTACACGACTTTTACAATCTGAACAGATTTAAAACGTTAGGCATCATACACTTACTGACTTTATAAACAGTCACAAAGGAAAAACTGGCCATCATACACTAAACCAGCGGTTCCCAACCCTGGTCCTTGAGGCACCCCAACACTGCACATTTTGCATGTCTCCTTTCTATGATGCACAAATTACAGGTCTTGGAGTCTCAACTAATAAGCTGATGACCTGAATCAGGTGTGTTTGATTAAGGAGACATGCGAAACGTGTAGTGTTGGGGTGCCTCCAGAACCAGGGTTGGGAACCACAGCACTAAACGACTGAGGATCAGACACTAGCAGATTTTAAAGTCGTTCCGATCACAACAAAGTCACACAGAAACATACATCTTGTTGCTAGGAGACGCGTGACAAATGAAAACATTGTGTTCTAAAATCGGCTCAAAATATCAAACATGTTAGATATCCTCCGACTGGATGGATTCATAGTTTGACACTAAAAAAATCGGAATGTGTGACCTTCAGACACTACGCGATTTACTGTGAAATCTGTCGACTCAAATCTGCAGACTGACTCCGACTTGTTAAAACTGTAAATCAGGGGAAAATCAGGGCAAAAGTCATGTAGTGTATTCCAGCCTTTAGTGAGGTTCTTCAACAGATGGTTTTACTCCACACACACAGTGTTATGCTGTGACTTTAAATCAGTTTTCACTCATAATTTGCTCGTAATTTTCACAAATAATTACAGAGAGTACAACAGCAAGTAACACATTCAATTAAACGTGCAATTTTGAAGTAGAATGTAGAGTATTTTCTTTAAAAAAACATTTTGTACTGTGTAGGACACATGAGATTTGTGGTTCCTTCTGTTTTGTTTGCATGTTGTCCTTTTCAAAGCAAAACAGCTTGAATAAAAACAAGAATGATGTTAGTATTTTTGCCGGATTTTAAAACGTGGAAACTGTTGACGCTCTGTGTCTCTCTCTTGTCTCTCAGCCTACATCGAGGATGTGGCTCGTTGCGTCGACCAGAGCAAACGTCTAATCATCGTCATGACGCCCAACTACGTGGTGAGGCGCGGCTGGAGCATCTTCGAGCTGGAGACACGGCTGCGCAACATGCTGGTCACCGGCGAGATCAAAGTCATCCTCATCGAATGCGCTGAGCTGCGGGGAATTATGAACTACCAGGAAGTGGAGGCTCTCAAACAGACCATCAAACTGCTGACGGTCATCAAGTGGCCGGGACCCGAGAGCAGCAAGCTCAACTCCAAGTTCTGGAAGCAGCTGCAGTATGAAATGCCCTTTAAGCGGCCTGAGCCCAAGCTGTCGCATGAGCAGGTGCTGGATGTCAGCGAGCAGGGCCCGTTCGGAGAGCTGCAGACCGTCTCTGCCATCTCCATGGCTGCAGCCACCTCCACCGTCATGGCCACCACGCATCCCGAGCTGCGCTCCACGTTCCACAACACGTACCACACGCAGCTGCGGCAGAAGCACTACTACAGGAGCTACGAGTATGACATTCCCTCTTCCGGGACCCTCCCGCCGCTGTCCTCGCTGGGCAACCAGCACACCTACTGCAACATCCCCATGACTCTGCTGAATGGCCAACGAGCACAGGGGAAGCCAGGCCGCGAGCAGCAGCAGTCCCTGGAGGAGCAGCACATCAACAACACCATGTTGCCGCTGCTGCCCCGGGAGACCAGCATTTCCAGCGTGATCTGGTGATGGCGTTGGGAATGGACGTTTCTGTGAATGGCACTTATTAAGACCCTTAAAAACTGCTGCTGTTGACTTTGCACCGTGATTCACAGGGGTTTGAAACTGAAGGCATGTGATGAAGACAGGTCGACGGGGAGGTTCATTCTCTCACAAACAGCTCATTCATACTCAAGGAATACAGGGTCTTGTACATATATTTGCAGTTTCTTTGTAGCATTGGAATTTTTTCAGTTTTGATCTTCTGTTTCCTTTTTCAAATGTCTGATTTGTCCTTTTCCCCTTATGAAATGAGCAGAGACACGTGAGATACAGTAAAGGCTGACCTGTTGTGTTTTTCTCCTGACTTGTTTTCAAGTACAATACTTGTTTTCTAAATCATTATATAATTTGTGGCGTTGTACTGTTTATTTCGTTTTTTGTTTTTTTTGTGGTCAGTCAATAAGATGTATTTACTTTGAAGAAAAACACCATTATGCAAATGCTCCTGAGGCCTGAAAGCTCTTCTTCTTCCTAAATGAATGACTGAGCAGAGTAAGTTCAAGAGGAAAAACTAGATGTCGTAATGATGCTCTAGTGTCTCTGCTGCTCTCTGTTTCTCTCTCTAAGCTGTTTAGACTTTCTGTTAGAAAAGAAAGAAAAAACAGCTTTGCTGTTCAGCTTGATAGGGAGAACTTAAGAAAAAATTTATATTATTTTAAAAGAAAAAAATCTATTTTTATAACAAAAGGATTTGCTTGGAAGGACACAGTAGGTCATTTCATTCATGTCATTACTGGAAGCACTGGAGGGACATTTTGGCTCACCAATTTAAGAGAAAAAATATAAGTATTTGTAATGTTCCTGTCTAATCATGGATGAGCAAGGGAAAACCAGTTGTTTTTATTTTCCCCATGATACTGGCATTCATTTCTGAGTGTGCATAATGACTAGATATGTATTAAATTTATAATATAATTATGTATATATATATATATATATATATATATATATGCAAAGAAATTTCACATCAGTAAAAGTGCTTATGATACAAATCCATGTCTCTAAATAATTACATGATTTGTTCTCTTCACTGCACATTGAAACCTGTTAACCTCCACTGTAGTGCCTCCTGCTGCTCCACCACAAACCCCATCCACAGGTTAAGAACGGTACTGCATCACAGTTACCATGACACCACTGCTCTCCAGCTCATCCGTGTTCCTCGTTCTACTGTAGTGATCGTAGAGGGGAAGGAGCAGACCTGGGCCAGCTTTTACCTCATTTTATACTAAGGGTCAGTCCTGTGTCAGTCATTAGGGGCAGAGTACATACACCTCTACACTAGCTTAACGACAGAAAAGTAGAGGGTCGATTGAATGTTCGGTGTATTAACAGGAGGGTCAGTTATTCAGCCCTCATACGTCCAGGTGTTTATTCATGAAGCTGCCCGTCGCACACAGCCAAGACTTTCAGTTTAGCGTTAGACGCCATGTTTTTTATTAGTCTCATTGTCAGTCTAATGAAGAATTTACATCAATAACTTATAACTCGCATGTAAATGAAGTGAAACCAAAGCTGGCAATTAGCGATGCCTTCTCAGATGCACTGGTGGATATCAGGGGAAATTGAACTAGGAACTAGTGTAGTTGAAAAGGCTTATGAGGGGGGAAAACCATTGTTGTACCAATCCATACAGAACAGCATAACGTCATCGCCAGACCCCATGTCCTGTTCACAGTGTTTATTTGTTGAGCAGTGCCAAAAGAGTCCTTTTTTAATATTCGGAACAGATTATATGCAAAAATCTGTAACACTCAAAAGTGGCGAGAAAAGCAACAGGGTCGTGCCAGCCTTCTCATGAAGCATTTCATCCCAAACAGACCCCAGATTCCCAGTTTGTAAATGTCAGCTCAGTTTTGAATAATCTGTTGGTGCTGAGCTTCTTTGATCTGAGAGGACACCAATCTGATTATTTACACATTATTATTTGAATCATATTTTCACAAGTTTTTTTTTTCTTGTATTTTATATTATATTGTGTAAATATAAATTGAAACTGTAATAAATTGAAGACAATCTAGTCACATTCATGAAAAAATCTGTTGGCATTTTCCAAGAGAGTGGCAAATTGTTTCATGAGCATTTCTGATATTACTGATCAAAATAAGAACAACAACAACAACAACAACAATAATATATAGCACAGAATTTGTCTCTGGCACTTTCACCAATCTTACACTAAAGATTAAGGTTCTGTTTTTCTCTTGTTTTTGAAATTTTCTCTTTTTTTATTCTGTATCTGCAATGTTAATTGAAGAGAAACTATCATTAATAAAATACACATTTAATAATATTTCATGTCATCCCATTTCTTTAACATGAGTTATTTAAAAAGTGAAACAGGGTTAGTGTAATGTAATGGAAAAGCAGAATGATAAGATGTTGAAAGGTTTAGAAGTGCAGGTCAGTTGAATTGTTCAGCTTTCTGTTCTGTAAGTTGGTGTGGATATACGTTATATGCAACAATCTGCTTTTTGAACATTAAATTGTGTAAGATATGAGATCCAGCAGATGCGCATGCAGACTAAGAATGCAATTCTAGGTTGCAAAAAAAGGGTTTTTCTTACGCTAACACAAAGCACAATAATACGCTATAAAAGATAATCTTTTGTACAAAAAAAATTATAGGGGAAACCTAAGCCAAGATATGTACTAACATTGTGTTCAAATAAGAATAAATAATCATTATATTACATTTTTTAAAAATGTTTGCACACAGGTTTTGAAACAATAGCTCCATTTTTCAAAACTCTACACACAAAATCCTACACACATGCATTTGCACAGCACTCACACATACATCCATATGCACATTTAAGGACTAAACAACTAAATTTTAGCCTAAAAACTTTTAAACTACATTGCATGACCCAACAACATTATTATTTATAAACAGTGTTGGGGAGTAACTAATTAGATGTAACCGAATTACGTAATTTAATTACAAAATAAAAGTAATTGTAATCAGTTACAGTTACTAAGATGTGTATTTAAATTATATTGAATGTGTATTTAAATTACAGCTACTTATGAAAATGTTAAGGATTACAAAGGGGGTTACATCTGATGTTTTCACACACACTTCCACATACAGATTTAATTAAGTTCTTTCATAAATTGCAGTAACTGCTCTAAAATATGAAACACCAATGTTTCAGAAGTTTTTAACATGCTTATCCGATAGGGTTTATGTACAGTGGGTATGGAAAATATTCAGACCTCCTTAAATTTTTCACTCTTTGTTATATTGCAGCCATTTGCTAAAATCATTTAAGTTAATTTTTTTTCCTCATTAATGTACACACAGCACCCCATATTGACAGAAAAACAGAATTGTTGACATTTTTGCAGATTTATTAAAAAAGAAAAACTGAAATATCACATGGTCCTAAGTATTCAGACCCTTTGCTGTGACACTCATATATTTAACTCAGGTGCTGTCCATTTCTTCTGATCATCCTTGAGATGGTTCTACACCTTCATTTGAGTCCAGCTGTGTTTGATTATACTGATTGGACTTGATTAGGAAAGCCACACACCTGTCTATATAAGACCTAATTTAAGATTTAAAAATTTTTTTAATTTAAGATTAATCTGGAATATCTGTTTGCTGGTGCGGTTCTTTACCCACTTCAGAGGCTCATAGTATTTACATGTTTTCTGTTTAGTTTTTCTGTTTACACTGGGATCTTCTACCCTGCTCTGGACCAGTGTGTCCAATAGATAAAATTTAATTTAAGATTAATCTGGAATATCTGTTTGCTGGTTCGGTTCTTTACCCACTTCAGAGGCTCATAGTATTTACATGTTTTC